TGTCGGCATGCGATGTGTGACACTTGCGTGACAATCTTCGGCAGTCCCAGCCGCAGCGCCGAGTACCATGTGGATCTCAGCCGCTGTCCCTGGTGCCAAGAGGCCTGCAATCTCACCGTGCGTCAGCTTCCGCCGACGAAAGGTGCCGTAGTCGTGGCCCTCGATGGGGGCGGGATCCGCGGCCTGGTGACTCTGGGCTTGTTGCGGGCACTGGAAAGGCGCTTGGACGGCGCGATGTCTATTGCTGGGATCGCCGACTACATCATCGGTACCAGCGTGGGTAGGTGCGATTAACGATGTTTTGAAGTCGTCCCGCTCCTGGTTTCCCTGCAGCCCCCTTCGGCACAGAGCCTCTTCGGCACAGAACACTCCTGCTGACGAGCTGCAGGCGCCTTCATCACCACTGACCTCGTGTATAACGGGACATCCGTTGAAGAGGGATATCACAAGTTCCCAGAATTTGCGCGAAAAGCCTTCCGGCCCTGCGGACCAGCCTCGAGACTCTGGCCGTGGCTGGCGGCCATCGTAGGTATCTTGAAAGATGGATATTATGACACCAACAGTCTTGACCGCACCCTCAACGAGCTGTTGCCTCCCACACTGCGACTCTTCGACGTCCCGGACTTGGTCCCGACGGGGACTCGCGTCGGGGTGGTGGCGAGCCGAACGTCCAACGGCAAGCCCATCCTCTTTCCGAATTACCGAGGCGTAGGATCCAGATCGGAGAAGCTGCCGTACGAGGTGGTGCAGGTGGACGGCGAGACACCAAATCCGCGGTTGCAGGACGTGTAGGTTTTCCTCGTTCCCCGACGTTTCACACCAGCGGTCCAGACCGTAGACTGACCGCCTACTGTATAGCGTAGGCGCTAGTGTTGCCGCCCCGTGGTATGTATTCCCGATGACGCAGGGATCGATGATCTGACGGAGATAGCTTCTTCCGGCCCAGGGACCTCCCAGCTTGGGGCACCTTGCAGGATGGTGGCGTCCGAGCCAACAATCCGATGGGCATCGCTCAGGAGGA